CCCATCCACTAACTTTACGTCATCGATTTCTTGCACAGTACTTTAATATTACCTTTTCATTTCCTTGTTTAATTACTTGAAAGAGAATGTATAGTTCTTTGAACGTAATAAAAGATAACAGGTGTACCTGACTCAAATTTTATTCTAAATGATGATATCTATACACCCACGAATGTTATTGAAGATCTACCAAAATAACTGTGATGATATTATAGTTTTCCCTGTCTTATTAGAATCCTGTACATTTTCATTCATTAATCTCTTTGCAAAGGAGCATGTCCCCGTTAGTAAACATTGGCAGTTTTTCATAACACACCGTATTAGTACTAATCAAATAGGTTACAATTTGTTTGTACAAACATGGTCCATTAATACACATTTGATGGGACAGTTTCTGTCAACAAGTGGTTAAAACATGGCTCTGTGACCAAAACATTGCCATTATCATCAAATGATGCTAGATAAACATTCCTGTCTCCATTCAGAAGAGCTACCGGTGCATCATTTAATTTGCGCTTCGTGGGATCAGACAGCTACGTGTCATAGAGTAAAAAGGCCGAATGCATGATGTTCTAAATTAAGTAAATGTTTGTAATTGTCTCGTGCCGGAAACACAAACGCTACAGGGATCAAATGAACATATAAAGAATGGTGATCTTTCCGATTTCCCACTCGTAATATTCAATTTTCAATGGGAAGATTATGTCGGATTTTATAGTTTATGACATAAAACGTTAGTAAAACAAAACCCCAAAATAATCTCCTTCAATCATATTCCGGAGGAAAATGCCCCATTGCCTGCAATGTGCTTCATTTCGCATATGCCACTTCAGGAAGCGTTTGCGAATCCATATTTAGAGGTTTGAAACATTCTACTCGATGTAAGAAAATGTTGTTTATCCTTTAAAGTTATAACATCCAACTTTTACTCATTTGATTGTTAATTATATGTGATAGGAAGTAATACCATACAGGGATTAACAATATAATATTCTTATGTACAGCGAGTATGTGGTATTTTTTCCCAATTAATTTCCACTTATCATAATTATTTCCCCCTATTTTTCTGTCATCATCATCGTTGTCGTCATCATCTTCGACATCATCATTATCATCGTCGTCGTCGTCGCCAGCACCATCATCATCACATTATCATCATCATACTCACCATCATCATCATCATCATTATAATCACCACAACCGTACAAATTTGTCAATCTTTTTTTTCGCCTAATTACAATGTGGCAGCACTTCTCAAATTCATCCGCACTCTGGTTGAAAAGAGTTCTCTATATTACATGTATACTGAGATTGCATTTTGCTCGTTTGCTTCTCAATGATCCATTAATCTCTTTACTCGTACAATAATTTATGCATGATTACTTACATTTTTAATTATGCATAAACTTCTGTACAATTTTTAGATGTAAATCATGCACTTGAACTGTTTGATGATAATCCCCAATAAAAATCGCAACTTGAGTTAATATGCTGTGTCTAAACTTGTCTGTTATTTTTTTATTTTGCTTACTCAGATAAACGCTTCAAAAGCATTCTTTCTCCGAATTTATTATGTAACCTAAAGGCATACCACAAATATCTTATCAAGCGTTTGATCATTTCTGATGCAATACGATAGGCGCTTGCAGACAACTAATTCTTATGTTTTATATAATGCATGTACGAAGGATATCTAAATAACTGTAAAAGAGAGGCATACATTAACAAGGGCTTATCTGCTACTTAACTTTGAAAAACACTATCAATGAATATAGCCGTGTCTTTAGATATACAGATAAATCAACCAATGTGCCACCAAAGTCAACGAAATGTTGTGTTCATAGCTAATTGCATCATAATCTCGCGAAAGTAAACGTGAACGAGATTTTGTATTTTTACTTATTTATCCCATATATCAGAAGGAACTTGGATTCCTATTGGTCATTTAGTAAAACATACTGCTATTGGTCATTTCCTCAGAAGATTCACGTTTGTTTCGACAAATAGATAGAAATGCTCGATTCTAAATATACATGTGCAAAAACCGTCTCTAAGTGCTCTTAATCAATACAAATAATTCGTCACAAAAATACTTATGGCTGTAAAAGGGTTTGAATAACAGGTTGTTCAAGGCACGTGCTTTTAACGCAGATGTAACAAGTTTTATCAACTAATGAACTTCGACGTCAGTTAGCGCGGATACTTACATTTTGTTACGAGGAATTTGATTGGTTGTGACAGGAACATGTTTCACACTCAGATTATTATCACGCTGTTTGCGAAACAGGCTACTGTTGAAGAACAATTCGTTTAGATTGTTACGCATTGGAAACGCTACTTTTTTTGCTTTTTCTCTCTGGGTGAAAAAGCACCTGCAAACATATGTTAACATTTCGGCCGAGTATTACCTTCAAAGAGATATTTTCTAATATAACAAGATCTCGTGCACCTGTGACCTCCATCATAGTTATGTGTTGTTTTCTAAATTTCATATATCAGTCAGTATACAGTATCTAAACATTGTTTATAATCCAGAGGTCGGTAATACTACTCCAGTGCAAGCGCCTGCCCACGTTGATCATTTCCGACCAATAAAAATAAAAAATGCCAACTTTTAACCCATTTTTATTTATGTTTATCCCTTTAATATATATTTATAGAAAACCAACTTATGCACGTCTTCCCTTTTTCTGGTGGGTACTGAGTGATAAGCGTTTGCAACCAGTTTAGAGCCAGGGCTGCATACACTCCAATGCAGTCTGACCCAGGTTCGATACTGTTGGCCGACTAACCTTATTTTTATTTTATCCAGATTTCGCCAAAATTGATAATGAATGGGTGGTTCGAAACATGTAAGATGGGCGAGATTATTTTTTGAAATTAGACAGGTTTAGGGGTTATTCTACAAAGAAGAAACAACACAGTCTATGTACAAATGTATCTTATTTTATTGTGTATAACAACAGACATGTATACAAACATTTATCTGTTACCACGTGTTAACTAATTTATAAATTAATTTTGGAACGGACCTAAAATTTATACATCAGATTTCATTAATATAATATACACAACGCCAACGCTTTATGAATGATAAAATACCATTCTAACAATAGTTCAAATACAAGAAACAATTAACTTGTTAAATTGAATGTTTAGATTTGTTCAATAATATATACATGTATCGAGAAAGAAATCTGAAAATAATTTCAAAATTTATGACCATAGAAATAAAAGTTAGTTGAATTGTATTAACTTATAGAATAGATCATACTTAATAGAAACAGAAATTCGTTCAAGCGCCAAACTTAATGAAAATAGTTTGAAATGAAATTTTGAAGAAATGAAATCAAATTTGTTTTATCCCCTAAGTGGTTGGCATTTACCGTCAGTATAAAACCAGGCCAGCCTGCACATCCGCGTAGCCTGACTAAACTCTACACTAGTGCTATTTGATATTGAAATCCTTAAAGCTGTATGCCTCCAGATTCAAGCAGCTTATTTTAAATTTTGAATATGCATTTAAAAGTAAAATATTGTGAACTGAACAAAGAAAGTATTTTACTAAGTGATGAAAACGACAAATCACCAAAAAGAAAGAGAAAAGTCGTAGTCTCAGTGTCGACGACCTGACGTATTCGACCAATTACCATATTCGACAACCTGTCGTATTCGACGAAATGTCGTACACCGATAATTAATCAATCGCATACTGCATGTTAATTAGACCTTGAATCTTAAATCGTTTCACTTTTCTTAATTAAAGTCTTAGCATATTTTTTCTCAAGTTTGAATTTCTTGAAATATTTTGGCTCATCTGGAGGCAATGCCGGCATGCAACTTTAAAACTTCGGATGACACTGTTCTATATATAGCAGAGAAATAATATATCACATAGCAGTGGGTTAATGGGGTTAATCAATTCTAGGAATGGCTGGAATAATAATAGCTTGCATATGTCTCCAGTATAGGATAAGACAAAGTATACTTATAATAGCTCCGATATAAAAAATCTGGAAAAAAGGTTGATCCCTCCGCCGGAAATATTGAAAACAACAATATAGTATGGAAATTGAAGACTCGGTTTTATTGAGCCTGTTCGTGAGAGATGATGAATGAGTGCAACATCTCTCACGCCCCCTAGCATCGACTTCAGTTGTTTTCAATCTTCAAAACTAACTTGCTGGATTCAATGATTCCGAATGACCAGAAACATATTACAACATTGGACCTTAGATTAGTACAAATTATTGTCTATAAAGAAAATTAGGTAGGTAGCATTATATGCAATTAAAAATAGTTACATTTGGTGCATAACCATTTCTAATTTAGAAACGTTATTTTCTACAAAAAAGTACAAGTTAGATTATTTTCGAACATTAGTATCAATATGTGGCCGCCGAAGTTCTAAAAAAATGATAGTACAAGCTCGATGCTTTTATAAACGTAAAATTTATGCAAGCCCAATGATATAGACACATAGAATGTATATAAGCCTAATTTAATGCTTCTAGAAACATAAAGTTTATTCAAGGAAACCTTAAACTTATAGAAGCCCTGTCCCAAATGATTAAATTTAATAAACCTTAAACTTATACAAGCGCTTGCCCAAATGCTTATCTAGTCCTAAAACATTTTTAAGCACTGGTCCAAGTGCTTATATAGAGCTACAAGTTATACAAGCGCTGGCCCCAGTGCTTATAAAGACGCAACGCTTATTCATGCCTTACTTTAAGAAACCATAATCATATAAAAAAATCCACTGCTTAAATAAACCTATAATTTATACAAGCTCAAAGGCTTATAAAGACCTTAAACTTGTATTGTAAAATGGAACATGTCAAACTGAAAACTGTACAGGCTTTGAATGCTTATTTTTTATATACAAGGCCAATGCTTATATAATAAGCTTAATGTTTGTATATGTCAAAGATATATCTATAGAACTATGAGAATTATCATACACATGTATATAGATACTTGAAATTGGTATAAAATTTGAACCGGTTAAAAAACTGTTTATATTTTTTACGAACGTTGATTTATTAAAATCATTCTGTTTCATACAAAATAATAATGCATGTTATTCCTATAATTAGTCATAACAGTCCAAACATTTCACGTCCAACCTTATTAAAGAATGTTTTTTATGCATCCCAAGCTTATACAAATTATAATTAAATGACTTATAATTCCATCTTGCTTTAGTCTAGTAAAGCTTGAATATTTCAACAAAAATGGCCTTAATTCTTGTTACAGCCACGACATCTTTCTAAATGTACCTCTCCACATTCTTGTTCAAAATGAAACACTTCGTGTAACGCTAACATTTAGCGCGTCTTTGCATTAAGTTTGTAAAATGACGAAAATGACGTAATGTCAAAATATATGCACGGTCGTGCAATATCATATTAACGGAGCCGCAAAAGCGGCACGGGTATGTGATAAAGTTATTTATTGTAATGGCATGCTAAGCTTTATGGACATTACTTTTTCATGGTTTCGTTATAGTAACTTTTGCATGCAACATACTTTCATATTCTTATTTCCAATTAAAGTTGCATATGTTTTTTTTTATATTTCAGGCGATAAACGCTCTTCGTCAAATGAGGGCAATGTATAAATAAATACATCTTGAACATTTCCTTCAATAAGCTATTTACAAAGGAACACTTCTTCTTCGTTTGTACATTGCTTACAGTCCACGTAGCAACACCAGTGCACTTGACACTGGCACGCGCGTTTTACCATCACCAACCGTCTATTATAACCACGCCCACAACACATGACGTCACAATTTGAGCGATCACAGACACGCCCTTTGGTACCCGGAGTAAACGGGCTGGCGTCACAAAATGTCGGCGAATCATCCAAATGTACCATTAAATTGGACCTAGGGGCGAAACTGTCTATAATTTTATCACTAGATGTATTTTTGTCCCTTTTAGATTTTCTAATTTTTCTGTCACGCCCAGATTTATTTGGGCTGATGTAATTTTGTAATTCCACTGGTCTTACAAGATTCCCAACACTATTTTCCAACGTGATTTCCTCCGAGAGAGAAGACTTCCCAGTTGCGTGGTTGGTATACGTAATGATTTTATAAGAATTTTCGTATTTGTCTTTAAGGATGTTTCCGATGTTAAGGAATGTTGAAAGTTGACGCCAGCACGTGCGCACCGTGCAAGAACCGGAAATTCCATGACACTTGCATCTTGTCTTCACTGCGGAATTAACAACCTGAAAAATACCATACGAATTACGTAAAATAAATCACGACACATTGTACACAAGATAATTTCTATATTTTATATGCTATAATATCTATATGCTCAATTGTAATAAAAGCATAAATGTAAAGAAAGGAAGAAAGAAAGAAAGAAAGAAAGAAAGAAAGAAAGAAAGAAAGAAAGAAAGAAAGAAAGAAGAAAGAAAGAAAGTAAAGAAAGAAAGAAAGAACGTAATTTCTTATGGTTCTGTAATAAGTTCTTTTATTCACATTTTATGATTTTTGTAAATACTTTTCTTTTATATATTATCTATTGCATAGTTTTTAATTTTAAGCGTACAGTACCGGTTGATAAAAAAATCAAATTTTATTGTTATAGGCTATTGGATATCAGTAAAGTTCCTTTTAGCTCATATATTAATACTCCCCATCATTACCCATTATACATCAGAAATACTTTTTTATTTCTCAAAAGCTTTTTAATTTGGATGCACTTTCATAGTATCCAAAAAGTTACTCATTTGCCAATTACCGGAACCATCTTTTTTCAATTGTTGCTTTAAGTATAGTTATGGTAAATTTGTATTTAATTACTATACATTGTTTACATTTTGCTACTTTTATGACAAATTATTTCACATTTATCGCTACTTTTTCAAGTAACATTTCCTTAAACATTATGTTATTCATGTTTGCCCTTTCTAAAAAAAAAATATTAAAAAAAATATTTAAAAAATGTTTGTTTCTGAGGCATTATGTGCCTTTAAAAGTTGTAAAACATAAGTCGCGCGCCGGCATAATTATTATATCTGCCGTATTGACCTCACAGTTGAGGTTTACTAATATTTCTAAACAGATGTCAAATTGATGTTAGCACCTCAGATGCTTCCCATCTATGTTCGCTTGTCAACAAAACTATGATTTATAAACTTAGCAGAAAAAAATCTCGTTTAATTTGCCAATTTTATGGAAAAAATGTCTTCGTAGACGAGTAGTATTTTCGTTCCGTAAAATGAGAGTATTTTCGCGATTTTAGATTTTATTCTTAAGAAAGATTGAATTATTAGCATCTAGAATTAAAGATTTTTGAGTTTGAAATGAATACTATTTTTCATTTAATTAATATGTGAAAGCTAGGACATCTATACACAAGGAAAAGGGGAAAGATCAAAAGAAAACCCCACCAATAACAAAATACACATACGCAAAGGAAAGTTTCTTTCTGCTTGTAAGCTGCTTCGAATACGATATTTTTACGCAATATCATAATTATAAACATAATGAGAGGGGAAAAAACGTATTTTAGGAAAGATCAAGGGCAGAACAAAAACCAAATCACTCTTTGTCTCAAGACTGGGTTAGTTTACTTGAAACTTATTTTTTATTCAATTATAAACACAAGTTCTTGCAACTTATGTTAAATCACGTTAGAGGCTGCTCCTTGCTAATGACCAGTACCGGTGGCATACAAGGTAACATGGGCGTGACAGAAGTAGGGCTCGAAACCAGGATCGTTTTGTTTAGACACGGTCACCTATCACCTTGACGGTAAATCCAGTTTCGTAGCACTCACTAGCGCTTCCCAAACAATTTAAAACTATTTATATCAAAGCATTTCGGTATAAGTACTTAACACTACACTAAACGAAAGCATCTTAATTAGCGAAAAGAATGTCCTTTTGCTGAAATACCTGTCTTTAAAACTGATCTGTTTTATTAGACATTGATACCCTTTTTTCAAGAGCCGAAAAATCAATTAGAATATGATGGTATTTTAGCCCTTCCCCTTCACAATGAAAACATTAAACAAAATCATAATGTGTTATGTTTCTCAAATAATTGAAGTACCGTTCTTTTTGGACGGTTAGGAATATAAGCAAATAGTTTGAAGATCTGATTTCATATTAATTTTAATTCTATTCAGTTAATAAAGATAAATAATTAATGTTAGGAATTTCTTATACAAGCAAAAAATGTCAGTGGGTTAGTGTACCTGTATATTTGTGTATTTAGTACACTCAAAAGTTTAGTATTTGAAAGGTTTTTTTAAAACATTTTGAACCGTCAAATATATCGATTACCCTCATCATATGGAAGTGCTTGGGACTGCCAGGGAAGTTTTTTTTTTCACAGTATACCACCTGGTCCTCGGACTTTCGGTTCATTTAAATTGATTTTTGTTTTGCGTGCTCAAAACATATTGTTAATTATACACATAACTTGCCAAGCGTTTGAAACATAGGTGTTCGGCGACGTTGATTGGTCCCTATCACCGCCCCCCCCCCGTTCACCCACTCTGACAACCCTTCCTACCACTCAAAACCATGTAAACTGCAGTATTTTTCATTTGAAACATGTTTTAATATTTGGTATATGCTTTTAATTCAATTACCTTTATTTCCCACAATTTTTTTTTATTTATACATGTACATAATATACAAAATGTACAAAAAGAATTAATCTCAATGTCTTACAATAAACTTATCATTAATTTTAATGACATTATTTTTTCGTTTAAAAATCGAAATTATTTCGTTTCAAGTATCGTAGATTTAAAACCATTGTTAGTATGAAGATCTGTCAGTATACAATTCTTGTTTACAAAATTCATTTGAAGAACTTCAAGGATATATATATATTTGTTATAGAATACTAGACTTGTAAGTCGTCAAACGCGTAAACTAAAAAAAGAAGCATAGGTTTTGTTCTTATTTTTTAGAGAGAAGTTCCTTTTTAACATCTGTTTCGTAATGGTATTCAACAGACTACAAATGAAATACAAGAATTTCTTCCTCCAACCCCACCCCTACCTGCCCACGCCTCCCCCACCCCCCCCCCAAAAAAAAAAAAAGAAAACAAAGAAGAAACAACAACAACAACACGAGAAAACACTAAAACAAAGAAAAAACCCCATAGAAAGGAAAAAGTCGTGTTAGGTCTTTAACTCATATTAAAAAGATAAGTTATGTCTTCCAGCAGTGTAAACTGTAAACTGGTTATTCAAGATGCACTTTATTTGTTATGAATTTATTATTATTGTTGATAAAATACGAAGCACATGTTTCGCGTGATTTATGGTGGCATAACCTTGTGAATGAAAGCTAAACACATATCTAACGATCAAAATGTTGAAAGAATAAACACTTAGAAAAAAATGGATAGTATCAGTTATCAAAACATCTTTTTTTGGCTTTTGGGTAGAAAAAGCGAAAAATATGAAAAAAGTTCATTGTAATTATAATCAGCTAATATTTTTTATAAGGAAATAAAATAAAAACAACATAAATTGGTTGAACTGACCTCAAATGTTGTTGAAGATGATGATGGTGATGATAATGATGATGATGATAATAATAATAATAATGATAATAATAATAATAATAATAATAATAATAAAATACATTATATTGATGATGATGAGGATGAGGATGATGATGATGAGGATGAGGATGATGATGATGATTATGATGATGATAATGATGATGATCATCATCATTATCATAATAATAGTAATAGCGATGGTGATGACGATGATGGTCCTATTGAAACAAAAAAATGAAATTCATTACATGCGGCAAAAAATTTTTGAATAAAGTGTTTTTAAAATCATTTCTACCGTCCACCGATAACCCTAAAAGACCGCTATCGTCCTTTAACAAAAAATGATGAAAAACTTTGGAATTACCCAAAATCTAGTTTTTCCGTGTTAACATGTGGTCTCTCACCTAATTTTGGTGAAAAATTGTTGTTTTGTAACATTTTTAATTTTTTTAGTTAATATATTTAATAGTATAATCCCCTAATTAATAGTGAAGATACAACGTTTATTGAATCAATGTTCTTTGGGAAAAGTGCAATAATCTTCACTCAAGAATGATTATTCAACATTCAAACTGAAAAGCGTCGATGCTTAGCTGGACTACCAGAGGATCAAGCTCACGACTGCGACAGTGTCAGCGCAACACCATGCTACCGCTTTAAGTGAGGAATATTAAACGTGACAGAAATTCAGCGATAGCTTATGACATATCATTTACGACACATGACTCAACTGTTGATGATGGTGATGTCAAAACCGACCCAAGCCTTTTAACCAAATCTGCCAGTGTCATCGCCCATATTTTTATTTACAACAGCAGTGTCAAATACTTTGTCATAACAGTGACCACATACCAAAAAACACCCTCAAAACAACCTAGAATTCCGCAGTCTACTGGCACCAGTTGGTGGCGGACACAATCACAAACAAAAAACTGTCATCTTTAAACTTCAGTCAAAAAAATGTAAAACTCGTGTTCTTTCTGCCCTTTGTATTAAATTAATAATTAACCGCAAATAACACACATTTTTAAATTCATCCTCAGTAGCTATGTAGTTTCTTCGAGATCCGTGTATGGATTGCAATAATGACCATCAGTTACACGTGTATCTCGTGCGTCTGACATTTCATACCGCCATGTTCAACATGAATGGTTTGGTGCAGTTTTATTAAGCATCCACCATAAATCAACGGCAAATGGCCGCTTGACACACCGCTTACAACGATTTTTACGGTGAACACGAAAAATAACATGAAGTTTGTATAAAAATGATCGAATTTGGTTCTTAAACATTGCACAAACATTTCTTTACCTCAAAAACTCGTTTTCTGATGACATCGGCGTATAATAATATTAATAAAAGAACACGGATTTTAGAAATAAAAATGTTGTTTCGTTTGTGTCATTATGATATATTTAATGGGGATACTAAGTGCAAATTAAAATTTCGTTTCAAAATTAATCACCTACAAGATTTAAACAATTTTAAAACTTTATGAAAGGTACTTTTTTCTGGTTACCGATTTCTGTTACATTTTATAATACAAATAATCGCCGAAAAAATCACAACCAATGAGTATAATTATGGTCAATAATACAATATGCATTTACAGACCATACAGAACATACTCCAAACGTTAAATGAAAATTGTTTGGTGACAACGATGTTTAAGACATTGTATGGCAATCTTCATACACATGTACTAAGTTAATTGTTCTTATTTATTATGCACAAAAAGAGAAATACTCGTACTATGAAACGAGTGTGACATAAACATTTGAGCCGCGTCATGACAAAACCAACATAATGGGTTTGCGACCAGCATGGATCCAGACCAGCCTGCGCATCCGCGCAGTCTGATCAGGATCCATGCAGTTCGCTTACCAACCCTATTACAAGTAGAGAAACTGATAGCGAACAGCATGGATCCTGATCAGACTGCGCGGATGCGCAGGCTGGTCTGGATCCATGCTGGTCGCAAACGCACTATGTTGGTTTTGTCATGGCGCGGCTCAATTTTGTCTGCGAACTCGGGTATGATTTGAACATCTTGTCATATTACCCTTTAACACGAAATTTCGCATTTTATTCGATTCTTTACTTTTGTATCTTCATCAAGAAAAAAACTTAATCATATGCATTCATTTCATGTTTCCTTGTTTTCTTAAGGTGAAGGGGAGGGGGGGGGGGGGGTAGTGGGAAAGTTGACTTTATGCTGACTTTATGCTTTTTGTATTTTTAAAGTTGTTGTTGTTATTGTTCTTGTATTGTTATTGTTTTTTTTTCCAATTAAAAGTACTTACTTTTCTTCCAAGTCTAATATTATGCTGATCAACTTTTGCTCGGATGTCTTTTTCTCGGCGTTTTCCCGCCCTTAAAAATCGTCGGGAAAACTTCAACCCAAATTTGATATTATCACCACATCCGCCCCATAACCACGCCTCTCGGTTCTGTAAATTCTTCGATTCATCACATGTACATCTATCTATGGTCCCTCTGCTACATGCACGTGCAAATGTGTGCACGAGACTTGCAGAACTTATTGCATAAAGGAATGACGTTTCTTTGAAACCTGAAAAAAAAGTGTAATGTTAACATGTTTTAACGAAACATCAAAAATCATTTTTATATCAAAGTTAAAATTAAATAGATATAACAATAAAATGGCGATATGCTTAGATGTTCACTCATATTCAAGAATTTGAATGGTATATTTTTCTTGATTATTAAGATTGACTCTTCAAAGAACTTGTCTCCCTTTACGCCGTTTTAATCTGTTATCTGTTGATATTCGTCGGTAAAACAAAATCTTGTAGCATAAATTATAACATCGTCGGATACCTACGACCGAACCATTACAGTCATGTTAATCCACCCTGGGTATCAGACGATAACATTTACTATTGGGCCAACTTCTTGGGAAAAACCAGACCTTTTGTGAACTGCTATTAACCATAGTAAAGCTCGTTTCAACAAGACCACCATCTTAACCTACTTCATTTACAACATTTTCATTCTTTTAAAAAGTCGTTTTGTGAACCTTGTCTCGGAAAAAATATTGTTTCACTTTTGTAAAGTATAACGTTATGAAAGAGAGACGAGGTCGTTCATTTGTTCGTGCGTGCGTACGTCTGCGCGTTTGTTTATTTATTTATTTATTCATTCATTTGAGATTTCGTAGCCATCAGTATAAAAGCTGAAAGGAAAATACTATTGAAATAACAACATGCTAATGTCGTCTGCGCTGACCGTTCATGTCTCCTTAATTGAAGAGCTCTGTCCACGTGACTAAGCAATTCAACCCACACAGGGTGGCCCTTAAAATTGATTTTCATCATTTTGTAGTTAGCATTAATCAAACGAATCGTCTTAATTCCATCTGGGCGACACGGATTGTTAAATTTGACCGGAGTGTAAAAATTTGACGACATAATTCTCGTTTAAATCTGACACATACAATATCTTTCAATCAAGCGTGCTTTCGACAGTTCTCTAAAGTCTGTAATATGCGGTACTGAAAGGTACGGATACAAGAAAGATGCTGCGGCACCTCCATTTAAGACACTCGAGTTAAAAGCCTAAATAGGGGTTTAAATGCATTTGCGAACGGTCAGTTGCATTCGAATAATTGGTAAAATACCACGCTGGGTGTAATTTTAGCGGGTTTAGTGTGAAAAATGTCGAAATTCGTAAATCATGGATATAAATAAAACCCCGGTCACGAATTATCATTTTATAGGCAGGTATTAAGTTACCAGACCAGAAAAAGACGAAACTTGTTAGCAAGCGTCCAGTAATTACGATGAGAAAATCGGAGAAATTACTTCTAATTATATCTTGTATAAGTAATAAAATCCAAGTATGTAATTTTAAATTCCTGCACTATCCCACGGTCTGTAATCGAACAGAATTTCGATTTCAAAATTAACAGGTTTTTGTCCATCTGAAATACTATTTGCATAAGTTTTGAAATCTGAGATATCAGGTACATGCTTTTAGTGGATTCTTAAGGTGTAATTTGTTTATTCAAATTAATTGAATTACGCAACATATAGCTACAGTGACAGACGAGCACCTGCGATGCGCGCGCATATACGTGTCAATTTTCGACGACAACAACATCAGCAGCTAGCTATGTCGCCGACAACTTTGATAAATCTTAATAACTTCCTAACAATTTTTAGTTTTCCCTATAAATGCTTATCAAGTGACTCGTACAATTATCGTGAAATAATTTGTCAACTTAGGGTACAATCCAATTTCAGTTATTTTCACTGCAGATAAATCGAAAAGTAAGTAAAGAAATAAACACAGCAAATATAAAGTAAAATTAACAATCTTTAAAGTCTAGTTATTCTATTTATTCATTTTTTTTATTTCTTGCATAAACGATTTAAAAATTAAAGAAAAAGATACTAATTTTGTTGTTCTGATTTAGAGACTGTAAAGGAACATAAATTAAATAGGACAAATTATCCTTATACATGTAGAAAGGAAAGGAACAGAAAGTTTCAAAAATAGTACTGTACTCTATACTTCACATTTATTACGACGGAAATAAGCAACAAGATCCGAACAGATCGGTACAACTTTGTAACAGAATGAATTCATCAACATCCTCTTGTTTCATGATTTTCTAACATGTTTCATTCTAATTTGCCTAATAAAGCTTGTTAACACGTTCCCAATAAGCCATGGTTAAGGTGTACATTTTTACCAAGCCGCGGAATACGCGCCGGGTTCTTCCATTAAAGCACAGTAAACATTCAATTTTATGACCGTTTTATGGACGAAGAAGATGTTTTAAGGTGTAAATGATGTCGTGAATTTATCAAGTTATCTACAAGACTAAATAAAGGTTAAAGAAGAGCACTAGATCGTCGTCCAACGGTCGCAGTGGCCGCTTGTAAATTCTCAAGTTGAAATTCGTAAAACGTAGCAAAAAAATGTATCTACTCCTCTACAAAAAATTTCGCCTAAATTTTAAAAACGGAAATTCTTATGCCTATTTTTTTTTGAAATTTTACTTTTCTAATCAAATGATTGTGAATCATAAAGAAATGGTTACAGATTACTTTATTTCAAATTTACTTTTTATATAACAAGTAATTCGTATGTCAGTACTGTAAGTTTTCCCGTAGAATATTGAATTCGATACTTAAAGATACTTATCCCTTTTTAAGAATTTGAACTCGCTGCGCTCAGCTTATTTTGTCTTATGTGATTTCGCAAATTCATAACAAAACGCATTGCTACCACTGTATTTATAGTACACATGCATAGTGTTATTAATAAATAATATTTAGCGGTAATAATTACAGTAGTGACCGCCACACACGACGCTGTACAGTGGAATATATAAACGCCGATTTCGTCTGTTTTCATAAAGCCATAGAGTTCATAAATGTGCGTAATAGCACACATTAATTTTACGTCATAATTTGCATGACTGTCATAAATCCTGAAGAGAAAACAATATATTTCTGGACAGGATTAAACTGGTATCGACGCTTTTCGGCATTTGTAACAAAAACAGTCATCTCTGAATCCACCTATCTAAGCCATCTTCAATTTTCTTGAAGAAATGAAAAATAATAATTGTTCGATTCCAAGAGAAATTATTCTTCCATTTGACAGAACATTATACGTGTTTGATCAGTACTATTAAATTTTATCTCAACAGAAGTTATTACTAAAATGTTCTGTTGAAAACCACGGACAATGACCTAAATACTAAATAGTATCCCACAATTCCATTCTTTATCAAGCGGTCTACGTCATAAAAACGAAAAGCTGCTCATTCATTTTAAAGATAATTAATCGTGTGAATATTTGGAATATTTGATAATTCATGATGATTCAACGGTTATCTTGCTACTTACAACACTTTATTGCTTCATATAGTTTACTGATTTGATTTACTTATTTAACAACTATCTGCGGTCCTTTTGATCACCAAAGAGGCACCAATAGCAAGTCAACATCGTACCAACGTTAGCATTACGACCGTCGTGATTTAAGATCGTATTTTCTCAACTTAATTTGTTAATACCGCTTCACGGAGCTGTTTATTCTGGATTACGACAAACTTTGTTGACATGAAAGTAAACGGTTGCGATCGCTATCTTTAATTTAAAGTAAAGTGCGGAGGTTTGTTTCGGAATTGTTTGTATTTGGAAATTTATCTTTAAAAAGTTTAGACGTTGCTCCGCAGTTTAGTGCATTTTGTCCGCGTATTAGACTATAGACGGTTACGGGTACTATTCAAGTGCACGTGGTCGTATGAGGTCATGTAAGGATTAGCGAACAATCGTTAGAATTTAAATGAAGAGGCAAAATTCTTTATTCAGTAAACATAGTTTGAAAGGTTATAATCATCCACACAAATGTTACATAGTTGAGCTTTGGAGTGTGCGTTTGTTGCACAGCAAATCCTGAAAGTTCGGAAGTTCACATTTTGAATTTTTGTCATACCGTTAAGCTGATTAAAATGAATTGTTTTAAAAATATAATTCCTCTTTAAGGCTAGTTAGACCAATCATATGGTACATGTGTGGTTATTTTTCAACAATAAAAATTAAAAAAAAAATATATATATATATATAAATAAAAACGGCACTCATTAACCGTTTAGCTAAGTTGCCACTTTAACATGTTTAATGACAAATTAATTCACATTCAACAATGCTTTCTTCGAGTGATAAAGCACCTTTAACATGCTGTAAATCAATTATATTATGTTTACAAAACACAGATTTGACATTTCTATGAAAGAAAAGTCATATACATTTTAGATACTTTATGCGCCTTTCATTTTGTACAGGCGTTGTGTGCCTTTAAGAAAAATAAAGAGACAAAGGTTCATTGTAGTTTTGTGAGCCGCTCGTCGGAAAGTTTCCAGCACAACAGAAAAGTAATATCAAGAATTTTGCAAAAATTTGGAAATTGGTCTTCAGTTGGAAACGATCTTCTGGTACAATAAAGCTGGTAAAATTTGTACAGATGAGCGGTCGCAAATTTGACCATTGTCTTAATAACATTTCGACACATTTCAATAAATACTTTGGACTAATAAATCAACGCGTGCAGGTTAACCTGAACCTCAGATGACCAGTGTGACCTTACATACTGACCACACGCATTATTTGTTGAAGTTTACGCGTAGACTTATTTATCAATACAATTGCATTGCCCTCAAACTCCAAAAGGTATAATTGCAATCTATAGATAATGGGCCAATTTAAGATTTCAATTTTCAACTCGAATTTTGAACGATTAAAATCGATCTATACTATCCAAAAGGCAAAAAAAATCAAGCTAGCTTTTTAGTACTTCAGTTGTATGTTAATAAAGATTCATGGTCAGATTTTATTTCCTAAACTAGCCAAATTGTATAGTTTTCTCGAATATAAACAAAGTTGGCCGCGAGACATAACAATTTACTGTTTATACTTAACGTACGAGAAAGTCAAGCTGATGCCACGGCATTTTGATTCGGTCGAAGAAAACAATAGTTTTTTTTTCGTTTCTACATTATTAAAACATTTTCCAACTTTTCTTCAGAATAAGACTCTAAAGAATCCAAGAAGAGGCGGGCCTGTAGAAATTTAGGCTGGTGTAGGCGGTGCTATGGGGAAAGTGTATAGGAATAGGGGTAAGTGTTGCATAGATCGTTTAATGAATTAGACTTGCTCTATTCTGATCCTTTTTAATCTAATTTGCGGTCTCTTTAAGCAATACAAAAAGTTGAAACACTTATCTAAGGTACCATAAAATACTACAAAAAATGCAAAAAAAAAGAACTACAAAAGAAAAAAAATGTAAAATTAATATAACGAGAATGAAAGAAAACCGTTATGTAAAGTTATAAGAATAATGAAAGAAAAGAAAAGCTTAATGTAAAGTTAATTAAAGGAGAATAATAAAGAAATAACGTTATGTATAGCTATTAAACTTAAACAAACGAGAATGAAAGAAAACTGGATACCCATTAATGATATTACCTACAAATACTCCTTAATGGTATATCTTACTGGAACCGGGACCGATTAGCCCTTGCCACCCACCAGTACAGAGGCCAGGGCGGCTCGTGAATAGTTCAGATAACAACCAATGAAATGTTTCATGCAGACGATAAATACTTCAAATCTTTGAGGGATAATCTCTCCCTAAATTTACACACAGTGACAAGATTTGTTGACAAGGCCCAGACTCAAAATCTTATTGTTTATATTCCTACCCTTTTATGTCATACAGTGTTTGGCAAAATTTGTTTACGTACGGATAATCACTATCAGTACAATCTCTATCAGTACGTTCACCGAAACCATTTACGGCGTACGTGACGATAGAATTTCTTAGATTTCTTCCGGACTATAAATGTAGATATTGTGCAATTCGTGATGAATGCTTATTTCAACTTACCCCAAATGATATACTAGTAATTATTTAATTTGTTGGGTTTCGATTCGGGTGTAATTTAAATGTTGTAACGGCAGTGACCATAAATTGGCCGAAAAGAGCTGTCTTCACCACTCCACTGTTCTAATCTGATTATTTCACTTAGTACTATTTTTTCTTTAATATCATTGATTTAAACAAAATATGTGAAACAAAGTCAGAAGAAGAAGATTTTTTCATTATTTGTGTATACATGTATTTACTATTACAAATTACTCCGCGAAGTGAATATCACTAAAAGTAGTTCGTGGAGAGACTTTAATACTGCACAAGCTTACTGTGGAAAATGTTTATATGATTTACGAATTGATGCATTACCTATCACATTAAATACTGGGCGACAAAATAAAGTTTATTTGTAATTAACTTGAAACAATATGTTACGGCTCATTAGTCAACGAATATTTGTTGTTTTTCTTCAGGCCATTTGGGAAGAAAATATGCATGAAGTATTACGAATTAAACAATTGTTTTTACTCCCCCATACACCACACCCAAGAGTCAATGAAATATCGGAGATTTTAACGAAATTTAAATTTGATATCTAAGGCTAATAGTAATTAGTCATTACATGTACATTATTTTATTATTTTATCGTTTGTGGTCGCATATCTTAAAAGTAGATGTGCGTGCTTTGCTAAGAGTACTGTCATGAATAAACTATGTGACGTCATTTTTACGTTTATACGTGCCGTTCATGGTCCTTATTGATATTTTTACGCCAGATTAACGTTAACGCGTCGTTCACGGACACTTTTAAACTATTTGACGTCAATTTTTACAAGGAGACGATGCTATAATGAAAATAATGCATTTTTGTTCAAAGTGATACAACATTTTATTGACAAGGACAACATTGAACACAAGCTGTATGTATTATTTTCTAAATAAGACTTTTAAAGCTGAAGTACGTAAAAGTAATGCGTATACCCCGAAGGATAAAAACATTTAAAATTAGACATTTGACATTAAACAATTTCTTATAAAAATAGCTAAAAAGATACTCGGTGAGCCCACAGATTTATTTGCTGAATATCTTATTTTACATTAATAAGTATTTCATTGAAATCAAATACATGTATATAAAAGTGTTTTATGTGAATGTAGCGTCAAGATTATACATACTTCATAGGTTCGAAAATGCCGTGCGTATTTAGCTGTGATCCACAAAAAGCATTAAAAAGAATGTTTGTCGAAGAGTAAAACAAATATAAATTCTTGCCAATTCAATAGTTAAAGAAAAAGCGAAGAAAGGCGAACTTTGTTGGATTCATACGAGCTTTGGACATACATTATAAATAAGAATGTGACTTATTCACAGTTCTTTGACAAATAATTATTTTCAATTTAGTGTACTCGAGCCGCATAAACTAGTGTAAACGTATCTTACCTTTTTCTAAAATATTTAGTCTGAACTGATCCTCCAACGTACAGTTCCATCTCTCAGTTTTAAACTGGTATTCACACTCTTGTGTGGATAAGGTGATGGCCTCTAGGAGTGTGTCCGCCACGCCTTCATCCCGTCTACACATCTTTCGCTGTTTCCTTTGCCGTGGTAACATCAAGTTACAGAGTTTTCCGGCCGCCATTGTTTCCCGCTTGTCCTCGATCATGTTTGGATGGAACCCGAGGCTCGCTATTAGGATGGGTTTCCGCGCAGAGAGTCTGAGAATTAAACAAAGGAACCAGATTGAAGCTATAAATAGAATTGCTCCGCGCATGCTTGATTGTTCGACGTCACTGTCAGAATATGATGTCTTTTCATTATGTAATTGGTTAGAACACGTTTTTAGCGTCAACGTCTGTCCATAACGCAACCAGATCAGAAAAATCAATAAATCCTAGTAAAATTAAGCTTTATATATTTCGTTGAATTTATACTATAGGCACGAAAAAGGTTCCAAATAATGATACTTTTAAATGTATGCTATTCAGTAAAGTGCTAAAAACCACACCACAGTTCACTTTAATGCATAGAAATAGTCCAGATCACCATGTGTCAACTTTTTGCAACATTTTCTATCTTCAAATACTGAACACATTTCATTTACATTCTAAAGCTGGTCGGCTCAAGATCACTCGTCTTTTACCGTTCAAATAACAAATAAGAAACATACGTTAAGGAAACAAAAAAAATCATATAAAACTTCATTCGTTTAATTCAAATGACGGCTAAAAACTTCGAAAGGTTTGACTTTTTTTCAAGGGGGAGTATGCAACGAAAATATCAATTTCATTTTAATCTACCCGCTTTCTAGCCTTATCAAAATAAACTCAAAATAAACTACTAGTATATAGCTATCCTATGTTCCAACAAGCATTTTTCTTTGATATTTCTGTCGCGTAATCTCTGATAAGGGATAAATTAATACCACATAGTCCAGCGAGTATAAACATTTAGGTGTGACATTCACAAAGGTTTGTAGATTTTGACATCTTGTTGTGATATTCCTTAATCAAAAGATTCAATTTTTATCCCCTGACTAATATACTTTTGCCAAAATAAGGCAAAACGTTTATTTTTGTGAGTTTATGTTTCTTATTTATACAATGAAAACATCTCGTAGAATGATACTTTTCAGCTTTGTGTTTTGACGTAAATTGTAAATGCATGGAATTCACGAATATGTACTTTTCAGCTTTAAGATTTGTCGTAACTGCATGGAATTCACGAATACGTGCTATAAATAGATATTAAAAATAGTCTCAGTTTAACGGCTTTTTATTAATAAACGAACAAACGATTGAAATGTCCTTAACTGAATACGAAGAAAAACATGTTTTTTCCCTACTGTCGAATTTATTGTATTTTCTTTAATATGTATTAAACTGAAGAAACCATATGCAGCAATACGGTATCCTATAAATTGCTTCTTTTTTGGCATAGTCTTAACAAAATTAAAAAAAATATATATTTCTTATTCATTTCCATTCCGCACATGTAATTGACACAGTTAAAACATTTAAAATATTCCGTGAATGTTTTTTACAATCAAATGTTAAGAATATATGAATTCCAAACAAGTACAAGCGATGATGATTTCGTTCTGTACACAGTCGTTAGAAGTTTAGTCTGCCATTTCTTGTTCTGTTTGAACTCGCAAAAAACATGGGTATTAGGAAGATTTGATATGATCTAACTAGGCTTTCATAGATGCTTCCCATCTCTGTAATCATGAAATCATCCACAAGTGGTTTTATGTATAATAGAATTATGATTAAAAAGATGCTAGATTGCTTTGAGACAATCGTATGAGTTTGCAATATTGTAGACTATCTTAGCGATTGGTTTCCGGATATGACGTCATAAACTAGAGCAGGTGCGTGATTAATTACATTTAAAAACCGTTACACTTATAGTAATATGCTTTTATCTAAAACGAATAAGTACGATTAATTACAATTTTTGTAACAGATGAAACATTTCGAATAACTGAGATAAATGATGACTCTATGATAAATTCTTGAAATATGCTTTAAAGACACATCTATCACAACAACGTTGATGATGCCAGCACGACTTGTTGTGTGATGTGATGCCAATAATGATGATGGTGAAAATGATGATGATGATGATGATGAAAATGATGATAATAATGATAAAAAAGAAGAAGAAGATGATGATGATGATGCTGATAAAGTAGAAGAAGAAGAAGATGAAGAAGAAGAAAATGATGTTGATGTTTTGGCTGATCTTGGTCTGCAGTGGTTACATGGGTTGATTCAGTTGCTGCCACTAGGCCAATGGTAAAAGGCCTATGTCAATCGCAACTTCTCGGTCTTTTCCGTCAAACGTCGAATATCAGAAACAAGTGTTCCGGAAGCATTGTCTTAATATTAGACAATGGTCACAGCAACATGTTGATTTAGGCATAATTTGCACACATTCGAATAAGAAACATTAGAAATTCGCTGTAATGTCCAATGTATCAATAATATTCTACAGTGAGTTGTTAAAGGAAGTATGTTTTGCATAAAAATGCTTGTTTATCGTTAATTTAACCTTGGTAGATGTGTAGTTTTCCAGACGATATCAAGACAGGCATTGTTTGGTTAAGATAATTTACTTCAATGATGAATCGAGCTGACCTGTGTCAAGGCAAAAGAAACATGTTCTTCAATGAATTATTACATGATTTCTTGGGTGGGGGAATGTGTGAGTTATTTTATAAAATTTCATTATGTTTACGTAGTTGAGTGACCTTGAAAAGAGAAAGGTCATCGTAAAGCATCTTTTGATAGATACATGTTTGTAGACAATATAAGATCTGGCTTTCAGAAAAAAAGCAGTGAAAGAAAAGAAATTCATTAGAGATATGAAGATTTGTAAGATGCAAGCATTTTTTTATAATATATACAACTGATTTGTTTTGTAATGGGTTTGAATTTTTGCATGTTTCACGCATGACCTTAAGACCTTAAAATTTACCAATATGAGATATTTTAGCGGGAAAATTTAACTTCTCGTCTGCTTGTATTAAAATATAAATGACATTTTACGATTAAGATACCTGTTACCAGTATGTTAAACACATGTACATGTACAAATGTTTCTGAATGGATGTCTTCCAAGTCTGAATGAGAAGTAGGCGCAGGTTTTTGGAATGCCGGTTGTCGTTTACAGGCACGATGTTGACTGTCCGATCTGTCGCAGATAAGCGCATTAATCTCCTAAGATCAGAGAAGTAGTTCCCACTACGTTCATTTAAAATATAGAAAAAAGAGCAGTGATTTAGATTTACCTGTCTACGTAATGAGTTATTTCCCCCTTGATGGCTTAAGCGATGTAGTCTTTTGATAATTAACGTGGAATTACAATATTTTATACAATCTAGTGGCATTGCTTGGTTCTATGTATTTTGTTTGTTTCTTGTTTAAACACCTGACTCCGACATTTCATATGTGTATTGTTTTTTTTAAAGACAATAACATAGATATAGTTTGTAAACAAGGAAATGACTTTGTACACGTAATTGAAATTTCCTGTGTAAACACTTAAACTCTTGAATTTTTATAATGGGTTTACCTTTATATAATATTTTTTTGACAAACCATTCATAATTTATGGGATTTCAGTATGAAATCACAAAATTTGAGCTTCCAACTGTAAAAAGCCTGATCAGACTACATGGAATTACAGGCTAACCTGGCAAAGGGTCATCACTTCCGGTTCCATCATGTAGATATTTGAGCCGCGTCACGACAAAACCAACATAATGGGTTTGCGACCAGCATGGATCCAGACCAGCCTGCGCATCCGCGCAGTCTGATCAGGATCCATGCTGTTCGCTTACAAACCCTATAACAAGTAGGGAAACTGATAGCGAACATCATGGATCCTGATCAGACTGCGCGGATGCGCAGGCTGGTCTGGATCCATGCTGGTCGCAAACCCATTATGTTGGTTTTGTCATGACGCGGCTCATTAAAGGTCAACAAAATTGCATTCTTACAGACCATTTATAAGAAACACAATGACAATGCCAAGAGGTACAAGGTGGCAATGACTGATGGCACAGGTTATTGCCGTGGCCCTAACCCAAGGGACCTTCCCCCGGGTCCCTCTATACTACCCCCGCAAATATCATTTTACAGCAAGAACACAAAGTTAGCGTTCAAAATACATATCAACACAAAATTAAACACATCTTAACTTAAATGTAAAATATTATTGATATTATATAAACTATGAATATTAATAACCTGCGCAACACAGGTTGTCCTTGCCAAATATTATACTCTTACTGAATTACGGATTTAATTTTTCAATTAATATGATCTGTCGGCGTACTCTTTACATGTACTTTCATGTGTTATTTCACAAAATCAAAATGTTTTCCTAACATTTACAAAATCCAAAATATGTTGTCTTATTGTTTATATTTTCTTGAATTATATTTTTATACCATGCTTAACATCCGAGTTCCAATTGACAGACGATCTTTTGAAGAATATTCATTTTATTTACATTGCTATTCTATTTCTGTAACAGCGAAGGATGTGGCAAATTTAAACAATTTAATGTAACGGCTTTAGTTCAATAAGAAGAAAGGAAAAGAAGGCAATTAGATGTCAGAGTCTGGGTGTGTATTTTGGATTTATTTATGCTGCGAAATTCGTAAAATGTTTAATGTAGAATGAGCATTTGTCCGTTCATCCGTCTGTTAATTATCTGGTCTGTATTTAATACGTTTTTGCGTCATAATTTGGTATTCATATTTTCAGTCATAGTGGAATTTCATTCAGCCTCACTGTTGTAAAACACAGAGAAAAATACTCGTCTTTCCGTTTGCCTGAACTTGATTACTAGATTAGGGAGTCATAAAACAGAAACAAAGACTTTAATTATAATACGTAACAATAAGATAGTCATGGTCATCTGTTCAACAAAAATAAATAACAAAACAAGCTCAGATGCTTCAAATTCAAGTGTCAGAATGTCCGTCCGACTGTCTTTTTTGTCTCTCATTGTTTATTAAATTTAAATGGCAGAACGTCTGCCCGACTGCCTGTCCGTCTTTCTTTGTCTATAAATAGTCGTAAATAGAGAAATATGAATGATTCCAAGACAAAACATAAATATTTAAATTGGTTACACGTGTTGTAGAAAAAATAACAACACTAGCTATTTGATACATTTTTGACATGTACATAAGACTGTTTATATGAAAGTGTGTCTTTCTTAACGGTTGTTACATACTTTAGATCAATAAATATCACTATCAATTACATGTAAAATACACATTTTCTGTAATTAATTACTATCGATACGCGACCTGTCTACATGTAAATGAAATCTAAAGAAATTAGTGTCTTGATTATACTGTTGTTGTTGTTGTTGTTGATGATGTTTTAATTTTATTTTTTCAAATGAAAAAAATATTTTGAATAACGAACTTACCCAAAATTTGCAACAGCGCGGGAAATGATACACAAGTAAATATATAAATAGCAGAAGACAGTTCCTCTAGGTATATACATGATGGTGTCGAATACTGAATTGTGCAAACATCGTCATCGTCTCGCTTCTAGACCATTGTTTTTTGTATATTTTATTCCAAAATATTTTTCCTCACTAGTAATAATTATAAAATGTTTTGTTCGTCACACACCGACTTCACATCACTAAAAATGTTTCATTTAGAGTCATATTATTTCCGTCCAAAATAATTCTTAAATTTTAAATTAATACTCTTACTTCCGAAACTTTTAATTTTATATTGAGCGGAATTATTATTATTTCACATCTTTGCCGTTCACCACTTCATTCTTATTACACACACAATACATAAACATTTTCAAATTAAAAAAATCATCAAATAACGTTATAATAGTGTCAATACTATAAAACAGTGCTATTTCCAAGTCTATGTTTCGAATAAAATTGTTATCAGAAGTAACAGATTTCTAAATTCCACAATTTTGTAGAGCTAATATTTTGTTAATAAACATTAAGATGCAATTTCCCGTGTTTATCTGTCGATCTTTCTTCCCTATTTCTTAGATGACTTGGATAATGTATTTCAAAAACTTACTGTCAAGTACTATAAGTTCAGTAATAAAGAAACACCTTGCAGATTAGTAAATTAATGTTGTTGTAAAATTTTATAATACCCTCCGGAAGCAATGTTCGATTTAAGATTTACACTGATTATTCCCCCGCATTCGAGAACGAAATCAAGAAACGTAATATAAAATATACATAATGCCTAGTGGTTCTTCACAACACCTCACATCTCCGATCCGTCCACACTGATTAAATGGTCTAAACTTTAAAACTTTTTTCCCTCTCCTTATTTTATTCTCCGTCGCACGTTTTGTGTAATAAGTTCTATATTTAACTCATGACGTAAAAACAACAGTTAGTATATATATATCCACAATCGAATTCTATTATTTAAAAAAGAAAAGAAAGAGATAAAAAAAACTAGCGAAAAGTAAAAAAAAATTAAGAACGGAATTACACGATGAAATTATAGTCCTATAACCTTTTCACGACGGGCTGCACTGTAATTAAGAAATGCTTTGATAGTATGGTGAAGAGAAATAGTTGCATAGTACGGTAGAGAGATAGTAACGTATCTGTCCCATCATCTCGTCTGCCTAATCAAGCTTGACGGCTGGGAAACAATTCTACCTTTCTACTAGTATATGTAGTTACAGCTCTAATTAACGTTTTTTACGTATATATTACAAGTAGTTTATTTTCTGTGCATGATAATCTTCAAGTATTCATTTATTAATTATTTTGCCTTATTTTAGTATTTTTGTTCATCCCTGTAGCAAAGGTAAGGATTATTTTTGTCGAAAGAAATTTGAAAACGAAATTTTCACTATGAATTTGATTTAAATGTATGTATATTAAGAAAAACCTTCATGTTTTACGTTATGTGCGCTTCTTTAATATTGTAACTAGCTTAATTGTATCCTATAATATAAATTTATTAAAGCGGTCTTCTCATATAGGCGGAGTGATTCATGTTAATTGTGTTGAGTTAAAAAAACGTTTGTTACAGAAAATCAGGTCAACTTCTATTTGTCATGAAAAAAATGGCTTTACACGCTTTAAGTGTTGATCTGTGTTTAAAGGCCTATTGTGCCTTAAGAAATACTTTTTTTATTTCACAAAATAACTTTTTATTTTATTTTTGGTAGCTTGTTAAAGTTTCCAAATGATAACTCATTGGCCAATTATCAGAACAATCTTTTGCTTCCGCTGCCTTTTGGCAACTGGTATATATTAATTTGTTATAGTGATTCAGTATTTTGTATGAAAGTCATACTAATTTGTTTACATGATGCTACTTTCATGACAAATACTTTTTTTTATTAAGAGCTACATTCTTCAGGTGATACGCAGCCAATGTGCTCTAAAGCCATAATATAATACTGCACGTTTGAAACGTCGCTTTTCATTGGATAATTGTGACGTTTATATAGATAATTATTCAATGAAAAGCGACGTTACAAACGTGCACTATTATACGATACACGTAGATATAATGAAAATGTTTTAATTATACAAAAAGTTTTTTTTTGAAGATTATCTAATTAGCCCTTAAAGCACGCTTTCAGAAGATCTTTGTCTTTATTAGTATTTCCAAAATCTCTCTACAAAATAAAAAAAAATAATCGAAAGAAAACGAAATATCGCTTTAAAACGTGTCTATCTCAATGTCTCAAAAACTTTCACCACCGGACCTTATTTAAAAATACTAAGGACTTTGTGACACTAAGGTCCGTGGTGAACCAGATCGTCCGGAATCGTATCAAACATACAGGAAACAAATAACCTGTTGAAGTTTTGATATTTATAATAATTTCTGGCAATTAAATGATACAGATAATTAAACTACATCATTATGACTAGTATACATATGTATGAGCAATGTCAGGCTACACATTAATTATTACTATCTTGTAAATAGGTCTCGGATTCTGGACGTACCGGATACCGGATTTTTTTCAACACGTTGTCGCTCTCTCAAGTATAACTATAGCGTACTCTCATACTTAAGGCATCTTAAATTCTAAAGAAAGGAAAGCCGAGATATTATTTTCGGTTAAAATCACTAATTGTTATTTACATAGGGATGAGACCACGCTCTATGGTCAGCCTTTATTTATATCCTTGGTCTCTATTCAAAACTAAGACAGTTGGGATGCCACCCTGAAACTTGATCAAAGTGAAGTATTCATTTAGTCAGAAAATTTGTCACGGATGGGTGATAAGATAAGGGACTTAAATGAGTTAATCATTTAACAAAACTGAAAAGCATTTTTTCTCTGGACTTTTTAACGGCTATTAATTAGTAATTTGTTCATTACAATACTGCTAGTGTTACAGTTTTGAAAAAGGGGGTTTTCTCTAGTGAAAATTGTTATCTTTTTAAATATAGGACATGTGAATGCATGACATGTGAGAGATGTTTTTATAATAACTAAGTAATTGTTTTAGACCCTTCCCCAATTTGAGGTTGGATACAAAAAAGAAAGAAAAAGAAATCGTTATCTCTTTTTTGAAAGACTTTGATTCGTCATAGTAAATTCCGCTGAAAGTACGTCATCAATTATAGTACAATATGCGGGAACAAAAATGAAATTCAACTTATTTTCCTTTTTTCTTTTCTTTTGACAATGAATATCTTTTTTGCACCATTTTGCCCCGAAGACTTGTGCGCACAATCTTAAATATCTTAATATAGTGTATATAGCTATACTTTAAACACAACACAGTTGATAATAATCTTATATTGTTGATCAGACACTTACTCACATTTAGTGAAATATCATTCATCTATGTACTGAGTAAACTTTTCAATTTTGGTAATTTACCTTTCATTTTTTTTTATATAACTCAGAGCGAAACAAACAAAAGGTAACGTTGTTCCTTTTCAGCGGAGTGGCATCGCTTATGATGTTTGTAAAATAATATTATCGAACGGCACGCGGACGGGGTCAGGGTAGAAACGTAATCTTTGAGTATCTTTCTGGAATAGAACACCTTTCAGAAACGACATAGCGCTAGAAAAGAGCACGTGAAGCAACCAAATGTAGAGATTGTTGAAAAGTATTTTGTACCGGGAGTAAACGTACATTGATAGAAAGGTACCTCTTGGGAGTTTCCAGTTTTTGTTTGTTACAAAAAAAGGCAAACGCGGATATCTTTTTTAATACATTCTCCTCCCAGACGACAAGCGATTTTATGCAGACGACATTCCATGCCTAATATACAGCATGGACACCCACCAGAATGTCACAAACAGATATTTATTCAAAACATTAGGCATTCATGAATGCTAGATCTGATTTATTTACTAGTATAATAGACTTAATTGGAACGATTCTGATACTTACTAACTTACCATGTTTGCGATAATCCAAATGTTCCCGAAAATGTTGATCCAATTGCTTGATAGGTTGATTTGTTTACTTACTATTCAATTTTTAGAGACTTTTGTTGTTGTTGTTATTGTGTTCTTAATCAAGTCAATTTTGATCTTACTGTTTGATCCTATTGTTGTATGATTTTTAATTGCCGAAAAGTACTAACCCTTTAAATATAGAGAAAACAGTAAAAGTAAAGCTGAAAATTACCAACTTTTCTTATATTGTCTGATTAATGTATTGTAAACTCAGAGAGCATTTCTTTATTGGATAATATACAATAACTCGTAAACATGCGAAAATTTTCTTCAACAACGGGAAGACAACCCGTACATCAATTTCAATGTTGACGAGTGGTAGGTTGTGTCCCTTTAATAATCATTTATAATGAAATTCTCGTAATATTAACTGTGACAAACATATATACCATTTTTCCGAGTATTTCCGGTGTTTATTATTATTATTATGATTAAAGACTGGTAAATATCTTATATTCAATACACAAAATGATCATTAACTTGCAAATTTAAAATGGACTCGTCCGGCTTAAACATTAAAAGTTATATAACCAACAGTTTCAAAATGTTATGTATAAAAATTTCTATGAAATCCGTTGAAAAACATTCATTCCCTGGACTGATATAAGAATAAATATTCCTTCAGAAAAAAATGATTGATCACTAAAATAAATGACTGGAATATTTTTGAAAACTCACCTTTCAACCCAAGATATTTTTTTATTCTAAAATGAAAACGAGGCTATATTGAGCACGATATGCATTTAATGTAAATTTTGTACTCTGGAAATGGAAACAAAGCTTAGTTGATAATATTGGATCCAGCATTGATTGTATTAGAAAGCGATGCAAATACTAAAGTTCATTATATTTTATAAGGTGTGAAATAATCGTACGTATTGTCCTTGTGTTTCTGCATAGCTTATATACATAGTCCTTGTATTAGTGAATAAGTCGACTTAAACTCGAGTTATTGTTTCATATTTTTGTCCTTGTTTTACTGAAGAACTTAATCTTGGGTTATTGTTTCATGTCATTGCCCTTGTATTAGCGAAAAGTATAAACTATATAATTATCCTTGTATTAGTGAATAGCTTCAACTCGAATAATTGTTTCATATCATTGTTTTTGTATTACTGAATAGCTTAAATTCGAGTTATTGTTTCGTATAATTGTCCTTGTATTAGTGAATAGCTTAAATTCGAGTTATTGTTTCGTATAATTGTCCTTGTATTAGTGAATAGCTTAAACTCGTTTTTTTGTTTCATATCATAGGACTTGTATAAGTGAATAGCTTAATCTCGAATTATTGTTTCATATCATAGCCTTTGTATTAGCGAATAGCTTAAACTCGGGTTATTGTTTCATATCATTGTCTTTGTATTAGTGAATAGCTTCAACTCGAATAATTGTTTCATCACATTGTTTTTGTATTACTAAATGGATTAAAACCAAGTTATTGTTTCGTATCATTGGCCTTGTATTAGTGAATAGCTTAAACTCGGTTTTTTTGTTTCATATCATTGTCCTTGTGTTAGTGAATAGCTCAAACTCGAATTATTGTTTCATATCATAGCCCTTGTATTAGCGAATAGTTTAAACTCGGGTTATTGTTTCATATCATTGTCTTTGTATTAGTGAATAGCTTCAACTCGAATAATTGTTTCATCACATTGTTTTTGTATTACTGAATGGATTAAAATCAAGTTATTGTTTCGTATCATTGGCCTTGTATTAGTGAATAGCTTAAACTCGGTTTTTTGTTTCATATCATTGTCCTTGTGTTAGTGAATAGCTCAAACTCGGGTTATTGTTTCATATCATAGCCCTTGTATTAGTGAATAGCTTAAACTCGGGTTATTGTTTCATATCACTGTCTTTGTATATATTAGTGAATAGCTTAACTCGGGTTATTGTCTTGAATTAGTGAATAGCTTAAACTCGGTTTTTTGTTTCATATCATTGTCCTTGTGTTAGTGAATAGCTCAAACTCGGGTTATTGTTTCATTTCATTGTCTTTGTTATAGTGATTATCTTAAACCCGAGTTATTGTTTCGTATCATTGGTTTTGTATTAGTGAATAGCTTAAACTCGGGTTATTGTTTCAAATAATTGTCCTTGAATTGGAAAATTTGGTTACAAATTAAAGTTTTATGAGTAAATACGAACCTACCTGACACTGCCTTAGATAATCTCTATCTGACCATATAAACCCGCATATTTTTTTAAGCGCCGGATAATAAACCTCTACTGATGACGTATTATCCGGAACCACGTGGAACACGCTCTCCCATGATTCAGTTTCTTGAGCGGCCCATTGACCAACTCAAAATAAAACACATGGGGAGGTGGGAGGGCAACCGGCAGTGTCAGGTAGGTTCGTATTTACTCATAAAACTTTAATTTGTAACCAAATTTTCCAATTTTATTTCGTAAATACTTCTCCTACCTGACACTGCCTTAGATAATATAAGATTCCACAGCAGTACAAACTGGGTGGTGGGATCATTTTATTTTCTTAAGTGAAAATTTAATTATTTTAATTCCACTCACCTAAAAATGTGTTCCACATCATTGACTGAAACTTCAATAAAATGCGATTTCCCATAATCACTTCTTAACTATGTACAGATCCACTGTACCACAGTGGTAACACTTGTCTTAACCAATATAATTGTCCCATAATATACAATTGTTTAATAAAAACTCCTACTTGCAACCCGCTCAGGAGAAAACTTTTATCTGTGTTTTCTTACACATCAAGTACTCTAGTACCCATAGTCTTCAAATAATATTTTACAAATGTGGTCTCCCTTGACCAATCGGCTGCCTCCATAATGTCCTTGGAAGATGTTCCTTTGAATCGTGCAAAAGAAGGTCCATAAGATCTGGTTTGATGACCATGCACTCTACCAGGGTTCTTCTTAGCCAACTTGTAACAAAATTTAACAGTATTAGTTAACCATCTAGAAATGGTCTGACATGACACTGGTTTATGAGGCTTATTGACAGCCAAAAATAGTTTGATAACCTCTTCAGACCCTGATTTTCTAAATTGTTCTGTGTTCCTAAGGTAATATGTCAATGCTCTCTTCGGGTCCAACAACTTATCTTTTTGAAAAGAAGGCACAAAAATGTTACTACTAGTGTGACCAGGTCTGTCTTGTTTAGCTAATCCAGTTCTGATGAAAGTAATACCTTTCTTCTGTACATTAACAGATTCATCACCAAGCTGAAGTGATTGTATGTCACTGCATCGACGAAATGTAGTTATGGCAATCAAAAAACAAGTTTTCCAAGTTAGGTATTTCAAAGCAGCATCCTTCAAGGGCTCAAATGGAGACATCTTCAAAGAACCTAAAACGATACAAACATCCCATTCAGGAACAAGTTTCTTAATAGGGGGTCTTTCATTAAAAACAGCTCTTAACATTCTTATCATGCATGGATGCTGTCCAATTGCATAATCATCTACCTTAGGTAAAATTGAAGAAAGCATAGACCTATACCCATTAATTGTTTTGTAAGACAACCCTTTTTCAAATAAAAAGGTTATAAAATGAATGCAATCTTTTAAAGATGGTTCATATGGATTAATTTGTTGTGAAGCACACCAACAACGAAATTGTTTAAATTTGGAACTATAGTCTTTTCTTGTTCCCATACGCCAAGATGATTTGAGCAACTTTCTAGCTTTTTTAGAAAATCCCTTTGTCGACCACATTCGGTCGACAACATCCATGCAGCCAAGTTCAGTTTCTCTGGTTCTGGGTGGAGAACTTTTCCCTGACATTGAGACAACAGATCTGGACTGCATGGAAGTTGTAGAGGATTCGCAACTAACATGCTGAGAAGTGTGGGGAACCATTGTTGACGAGGCCAAAAGGGTGCTATCAGAATGACTGTGCACTTGTACTGTTTCATGTGAGAAAGTACTTTGGGTATAAGTTGTATTGGTGGGAAAGCATACGCAAACATGTTCTGCCAAGCAACCGACAGGGCATCCGTCGCATATGCATACTGGGACGGAATCCAAGTGCAAAACAACATTGTCTTCTTGTTCTTTTCCGTTGCGAAGAGATCCATTAATGGATGACCCCACAGATTGAAAATTTTCTGAAGAAAACAATCTTTCAGAGACCATTCTGAATCCCTTATCTCCTTCCGAGACAAAAGATCCGCAAGACAATTTTGTTTGCCCTTGACATGTGCTGCTCGAAGTAATATCTTGTTCTCCAAAGCCAGATTCCACAAATCCCAACTCATCTTGCATAATTTTGGGGACTTGGTGCCCCCCTGTTTGTTTATGTATTGCATCACTGTCGTATTGTCGGTTCGAATCAGAACATTCTGAGATTTCACAAATGGTAGGAAATGAGACACAGCTAGCAATACTGCTTTCATTTCCAGACAATTTATGTGCATAAGTTTCTGACTCGCAGACCAACGGCCTTGCACTGTATAACCCTTCATATGTGCTCCCCAGCCGTATAAACTTGCATCGGTGGTAATTATATGTGGGTATGACCTTGTTTGAAAATAATAACCCTTCAGAATGTTCTGATCCTGTAACCACCATTTCAGATGTAAACGAAGCTCTGGAGTCAATGGAATTATTTTTGATAAATTCATGCTGACTGGACTCCAATTTGCTAGTAAAAATAACTGAATAGGGCGCATGAACAGTCGTGCATTTGGTATGAGCAACAGACAAGAAGCAATCTGGCCAAGAAGAACAAGAAAATGTTTTGCTGTTGGTTGAACCGATAGCAAATCGATCACAGACGTCTTTAAATTTTTTACCCTTGTTTCCGTCGGAAACACATGACCTGTTTTCAAATGAAACAAACCGCCTATGTAAGTTAAATCTTGACTTGGGATTAAATTTGACTTTTCTTTGTTTACTATGAATCCTAGTCGAAAAAGGAGACTTAAGATTGAATTTCTCTTTAGAAGTAATTTGTTTCTGGTTTGATCTACAGCTAGCCAATCGTCTAGGTAAGATGCTAGACGTATATTCTGACGATGTAAATGTGCTGTTACTGTAGCTACAATTTTTGTAAAAACCCTTGGACTCACTGTTGGGCCGAAACAAAGAGCTCGAAATTGATAAACTTGATTTTGGAAATAAAAACGAAGAAATTTGCGATGTCCCTTGTAAATCTTTATATGAAAATAAGCGTCTTTTAAGTCTAATGTTAGACCCCAGTCTCCTTTTTGAACTAGGTTCAGGACTTTGCTTAACGTGTCCATTTTGAAATGAAGTTTCCTTAAATACTTGTTCAGAGGCTTTAGATTTATCACCGGTCTCATTTCCCCATTTTTCTTTGGTACTAGGAATAAAGTGCTGTAAAAACCGGCATGTGCAATAGTTTTGTCTACTTTTTCGATAGCTTTCTTTTTTAAAAGATTTTCTATTTCTAAAGCTATAAGATTTGTTTGAAAAGATGGAACTCGAGTTTCCTTTATTCCATTGAAAAGTGGAATCTTCAAAAATTCTAGCTTGTAGCCGTGTTGAATTATTTCTAGTACCCATTTGTCTGTCGTTATATTTTTCCATTCTTGAAAAAAATGAGACAAACGGCCTCCGACAGGTATTTCTGGAAACTTCGCAATAACACTTACCTTGTCATTTTTTAACTGTGTCTCCCAGTCGTTCCTTGACACTTGAACGTCTGGTAAAATCTGGTTTTCCTCTAGTAGAAAAACGTCTTCCACGTTGATACTGAGATTTTTCCCCTTTTTGAATGCGTGGAATGCGAAAATCACCAGAGAAGTTTGACGGTGTTCTAGCAGTAGTCATGCTAGAAACAGTAGCAGAAGGCTTAGATCTCTTCAAGTTTTGGTAAGACTCCTCTGTGACTGCCTTACGTTTTCTATTTAAACCTAACTCCGGAAAAAGTTCCTTTATAGCTTTCCTTTTGTCTTTTCTATTTTCCAAATTAGAATTAAGTTGTGAACCAAACACCCCATCACTTCTAAGTGGCAAGTTAGAAATAGTGTCCCTATCCCTAAGTTTAAACAATTTAGTGTCTGCCATTGCTAATTGCCTTCGACCTATATGGTGAAAAGCACCTGTTCTGCCAATTTGTTCTAAACATTTTGTTGATATAGCAAAAATGTCACGAATTTGCGTTGTACATTTTTCTTTATCTAAGGAGTCATCTTGAAAAGCTACCATTAATTTACCAAGACACTGCTGCGTGTATAACTGCATAGTAAGCGCATATTTGGCTGCTTGTTGACCTTTATACAAAATATGTTCCACCATTTTACATGGCTGATTGAATAAAGAAGTCTTTTTTGATGTGAACGCGGCTTTTGAGCCATAATTTTCAACAAGGAGATCCTCAACCATATCATCAAGAGATGGGACTTGTAAAATTTTTTCAGTTTCTGCGTCTACAGGAAATAACTCCTCATAATTATCCCCCGTAGCTGTCAAAAATGATGGCTGGTCACAATGCCAACTATTATTAAGAGTTTCTTTCTGAGAATTGTCAATAGAAATGCCCATTTTAACAACATCCTTTTTAAATTTGGCATCATCACCAAAAACTTTGAACAAGTCTAAATCATTTTTTGATTGAGAATCTTGTACACTTATGTTTTTACTAAGACTTTCAGTCTCTAAATTCCTCACAGAACTTTGACTAGGGCTATGTAAAGGGCTCCTAGATGGTGAACGTGATGATAAATGAGTTTTATTACCTTCATCAGATGAAAAACCCGTAGATCTGTCATATAAAGACAATTGGTCTTCATCACTAGGACTACTATCCGAAAAAGTGTGCATCGAAAACCGTTCACTTCTACGGTGACGGCGAGAATGGCTACGTTTCTGCCTTTTTGGCGAAACACTCTTATCAAGTCTATGCCTTTTTGGCGAACATTCAGAGCTGCCTTTCTCTTTGTTTTGAAGTAAAGACGAAATGACATTCAACGACTGCTTAATTCCAGACATTTCTGAGCTAAGTCCATTGAATTTAGATGACCATTTTTCTTCCATTTGGTCATAACGCGATGTTCTCTTCCTTTTACCCGACTTTGGGTCCTCGCTACTTTTCTCGGAACGTTCAGTGTTTGTGTCCGAAAAACGGCTAGAAATATCTTTATCCGAAGGAATTTCTCCTTCCTCTATCGCTACTACACCTTTCCTTACCTGAACTTCCGCCATTAAAACAAAACAAATTAAATAAATCCAACAAACAATAAAATTTTCACGCGAGTGGCACACTTCCATGTGCTCAATGGCCGCTCAAGAGAAAAACTGAATCATGGGAGAGCGTGTTCCACGTGGTTCCGGATAATACGTCATCAGTAGAGGTTTATTATCCGGCGCTTAAAAAAATATGCGGGTTTATATGGTCAGATAGAGATTATCTAAGGCAGTGTCAGGTAGGAGAAGTATTTACGAAATAAAATTAGTGAATAGCTCCAACTCGGGTTATTGTTTCATATCATAGCCCTTGAATTAGTGAATAGCTTAAACTCGGGTTATTGTTTCATATCATTGTCTTTGTATTAGTGAATAGCTTAAACTCGAGTTATTGTTTCATATCATTGTCCTTGTATTAGTGAATAGCTTAAACTCGAGTTATTGTTTCATATCATTGTCCTTGTATTAGTGAATAGCTTAAACTCGAGTTATTGTTTCATATCATTGTCCTTGTATTAGTGAATAGCTTAAACTCGAGTTATTGTTTCATATCATTGTCCTTGTATTAGTGAATAGCTTAAACTCGGGTTATTGTTTCATATCATTGTCCTTGTATTAGTGAATAGCTTAAACTCGGTTTTTTGTTTCATATCATAGCCCTTGTATTAGTGAATAGCTAAGCTCGGGTTATTGTTTCATATCATTTTCCTTGTATTAGTGAATGTTTCAGGATTCACCTTTAAATAGGAAAGAAAGATTAACAAAATCAAACTGTAATAACAATAAACTAAAATAATTATATGTGTTTACTTATTTACAATCCAAGAAATTTTTATCAATTTTTATGCATTTTGTCCACATTTCCTTGACACTTTTTGGTATTTCATGTTAACTATGTCTCGCTGAAATCCCTATATATGGCAGGATATTCACTATCTAAAACAGTTTTCACATCTTCTTCTTTACTGGCATGAATCTGTAGGTTGTTGTATTCACATAAGTGTTCATAAGTACAATTTTTTATTACGTAAGCACAATGTATATTACGTAAGCACAATGTATATTACGCATGTACAATGTATATTACGTATGTACAATGTATATTACGCATGTACTATGTATATTACGTATGTACAATGTATATTACGTAAGAACTATGTATATTACGTCAGCACAATGTATATTACGTAAGAACTATGTATATTAAGTATGTACAATGTATATTACGTAAGAACTATGTATATTAAGTATGTACAATGTATATTACGTATGTAAAATGTATATTACGTATGTACAATGTATATTACGTAAGAGCAATGTATATTACGTATGTACAATGTATATTACGTAAGAACTATGTATATTAAGTATGTACAATGTATATTACGTAAGAACTATGTACATGCCTATTACATAAGTACAATGTATATTACGTATGCATGATTCTGAAAAAAGTATCGCCAGTATAATGAATGTAGATCAACACACAAGAGTATAATGAATATGAACAAATGGCGTAGTACAGATAAGGGGAGAGAAAAACATCATTTTGTCCGAAACAGGCAAAGTTCCGAATGTATGTACATACAACACAGTCTGGCGTATTGTATTATAATTGTTGCTTTTAGAGGTATTAAACTATGATTTAACAAAATGTAATAACGCGGAAAGACCAAGCGTGACCGAGGAGCTCTCAGGTAACATGTATGACGTATAAAGTTTAATTGAAAACTCATTAAATTCAATGCAAAATAAAAAAATTAAAAAAAAAAAGTTTCTCAATCTTGATTTTTTCCTAACGAGTTAGAGGGCTGCGCTCATTTTGTAAAATCCGGGATGCTTTTGAAAATCATTCGACAAATTATTATTAAATATCTTTCAACACTTACTTAGGGCTATTGTCTAAAAGAAAATTTTGTGATGTGATGCCCTAGCTGTGTTTATAAATCACTACTTACACGTTTAAATTAGTGTGACCTTATCGCCGATTGAACACATCTGCAGACGTTAATAAATTCAATATTCTACGATTTCATGTTTAAATGTTGAATTCTGCATAAGTTGGTGCTGGGGGAAGGGCGGACATGGACCGTAGCATGAACAGGCTCAATTAAACCGAGCCTTTAGAGTTTCCGTTCTCCACTTTTTTATTTCATAAGTAAAGCTATATAGACGTTAAATAAACATGACATTATCTTATGATCCCTAAAAATGACAGAATAATGTACAAATATCTAAATCACTGAGTCAATTCATTTTGATGCTATAAATTTTGCAAAACCGTCAACACCCCCGAGCACGACTGAATTGGACGTGTTACAAACGGCGTTTCTAGGGGGTCAATTAGTCCATGAAACGAACTGTACTTATTGATATAAAAACAAACTATTCACATCACAGCAGTGGTATCAAATTATAAGGCTATTTTATGACAGTATTATGGGCCTCAATTAACCACTTTTTTTTCTTAAAATGCAATGGGCGATACTTTTATGACATATTTACACGTTTTGATGTGCGGGACTTTCTTTTTAGTGCAGAAACATTGAATATTATAAGTTGTTACGTTTTCATTTAGCTTTCACCTATCACTGGCTGTTACGAATTCACAAGAAATCTTAAACAGTTTTCTTAATACGATCACAAGTTGTTGTTAAACACAGAACAAAATTATATTGCATGCAAGCCAAATTCCAAAAGCTGAAGTTTAACATAATCATTGAATGCATTTTATTTTAGTATTTCTATCCAGTTTGTGTAAATCTATATTATATTTGAGCGCGTCACGACAAATTGATGGTGGAGAAAGGGTATGTCTTTTTTCCTGCTTTTTTAAGTCATTCATTTAGATAGTATTTATGTTAACACAATGTATAACATGTGGTCATGAAGAAAGTTATGAAGTCCAAATGTGTTTGTGTTTTAATTTCATTGAAAAAAGTTATTTAACTTTCACAAAATTACGTTTATTACGGTATTAAAACATTTCAATTGTTTTTAAAACTGGCGCTTCATTTTTGGCATGTACTATGTTCAAAGGTCCATTCCTGATTTCGTCTCTTCTTGGTGCATAGCTTGGTAGATTTCATGCATGTCATATACATCAATATCTAACCGGTCCTAGGACAAAAAAAGAACAACAACGGCAAAAAACAACAACACCAACAACATACAAAATACCCCACTAACAAAAAGAAAGAGAAAGAATTAAGGAAAGAGAGAAAGAAAGAAAGAAAACAACAAAAAGTATTTTAAGAAGGAAAAGAAAAACTAAAGAAAAAGAAAAAAGCAAAGACATGAAAGAAAGAAAGAAACTTAAAGAAAGAAAAGACAGAAAGAAAGAAAGAAAAACAAAAAAGAAAGAAAAGACAGAAAAAGAAAGAAAGGTATAATAGAAAAAACAACAACAGAAAACAAAAAAATCATAAAGACAAACAACCTTTAGTGACCTTATTTATAGAATGCCTTATCCTCAGAATGACAGTTGTCGGAATTGAAAAACATAAGAAGGGTCTCACTTACTTTCATGACGTCATAAGTGGTCCAATTGTTTTCTACACAGGTGTATGGTAGCCTAAAGCATTCCTTCTAATTAAAAAGCAAGTGTGGTCTTTCTTAATCTTTTAAAACTGGAGGGTTGCCATCTGACCTAAATTGTGACATTTAAATGGTACAAAAAAACAAACATTTCACACAACGTATGGATTACGTCGTGCAAAAAACTCCTCTTGTATACCTGTTTTCATTCATTGGCAAGTAAGTAGGTATTTTGTTACTTTTAACTTTAAAGTGTTGCATGGTTGAAATATTCATACTTTTCAAGATCGTTTTTCAGATGCACGTGGAGTGATCCATATAATATGCTTAATTGAAATGGCAAGGAATTACATATTGTTGCCATTAAATACGTATTTGAACATACTTTGTGTGGTCCTCGTGTGCGTTCGATACGTTAAGACAAATTCGACGTTTAAGTAAAAAAAAATCTTCAAACAAGAGATTACCATATTGCCTTCACAGATTATTTAATTCATATCAATTTTCAAAAAAACACGGTATGAAAAGGTTAGGAGTGTTTTAGACGAACAGGTGTTTTTCATGTAACTGTGTGGCCAGGGTATGTAATATGCTTGTTCTCTTTATAATATGGCTATACCTTTGTGACAAAAAACACTGTTGTTATTTATATACACATAATACAAGGTCTACTAGTCATTCACCCTTTCTTTTAAGATTAAAGTCAAGTCAGCATTTCAAAGACTAGTTAACATTATTTTGTTTACGTACCATCTGTACTGGACTAATCACATATAACAGAGTGCACTCGATTGTTAAGGCAATGTTCCTTTGAAGTGATATTAAGTTAACGCCCAACCACATTGAATGCTTTAGTTCTTATCACTTCTCATCGCAACATAATCAGACACATTTTTAATAATGAAAAGTACAAACAACAATGCTGCTATAACCTTGTCGAAATTGCTTATATTCAATACAAGTATTCCTCATAGAATTATATAAGATTCAATATGTAAGTTTCTGTGTTAGAGCTGTACAAGGTCATCAAGTTCATCTAAGCTGTATTTCTGGTTCTTCGGCACTATTTGGTCTAATTCTTCTAGTATTTAATATAGAGCTATAAAAGGTTACTAAGTTCATCCGTGTTGGTTTTTGGTTCGTCACCATTATTTGTTCCAATGCTCCTATTATTTTATATAGAACATTTCTAAAACCGGTGCAAAGGGGTGTCAAAGTTGTTACACTTTTCATTGCTTATCAAGAAAGACTCAGTCAAACCGATGCTTTGATTTTAGTTTAATGCTTCCGAGTTCTCGAAAGGATGAAAATTTCAGTTTCGGAATGTTCTTTCGTGGAAAACGGCTTGTATAACTACACGTCAAATATACAATTTACTTAACGTACACTTTTATACAAAGTCAATAACTGTTGTCGCTGAAAATTTGAATAAAAAAATAGAAGACATTACTGCTACCTTCCTATAGCTGCCGCCCTCATTGCTCACTAAATTTTAACTTTTTATGCCAAAGGAATTGTACTTAAGAGTTCAAACAAATACCATAATTTATTTTGTATTATACTTATGATTTTTAAGTTGTTGTTTTGAATTCGAAATTAGATATAACAATTCTTTCTAGTGCCAGTACCATTGGAATGAGCATTTAAGAACACAAATGTTTGAAAACATAAGATGAAATACACCACATTGTTAAGATGAGAAAGAATTTTGACTATGTTGCTTAATTAC